CACGTCATTGTTCGGTACAATTTATTCGGTCTTTTCGCTTATTCGCTTTTTGCTATTTTCGGCCGAATAATTTCGGTTGCCTAACATTCGGTGCATCCCTATAGCAGATTATTGCTGAAGTGAAAGCATTTCAAAAAAAGAAAGTATAAAAAAAGTTATAGACGTTTAAGTTTGCAGGAAAGATAATGCAGTATACTATTTTTTTTTTTATTTTATATAAAATAAACACTTTATAAAATGTTGCACTTCAAATTGCTATAAAATCTAAGCCATATGTCTAACCAAGTTATGTTCCAAATTTGAAGTTGATATCACCAAAATTGGGATTCCTGTGAGATTTTGTTGGGGCACTATACCAAAAATAACCACTGGGTGACACCCAAACTCTATTGAATTCTTTTGATGCAGTTGTCTGTCACAAATCAATAATTTTCTGTCACAATATCACTTCTATTACAAAACAGTCACCAAATATGGAACCTTGACTGTCAGACCTTTCCAACGATATGTGTTTTGTCAAGATTACAAAAAGATTTGATTTTCTAAAACACAAGCCACAAAATCACAGAGTATAATATATATATATGTTTTTATATCTTGATTTATACCACTGAAAGGGTGGCGTATCCCTTGAGATACAAACATTTAGAGACAGATTACAAAAAAAATGTAAGCATTTAATTCATAACATTTCAATGTAAACCTAATAAGCTAATGCTGAACAACAGCTTTTTAAACAGGCAAGTCCCCTCCAACGTGTGTAAATATGTGAACTAGATCAACTTTTTTAGGAGGGTGAGTAGATTTCCCACTACAGTTTTAAATGCTGCCCGTGAGCTAAACAAAGAATGTATGAACAAAGTCAATATATCTAAATATTCACAACAAACAACCTTTCAAAATGAAACCAAACAATGAGACCTACACTTTCCCTCAAATGTTTGTATCCCACAGGATACGTTGCCAGTTTTAGGGTTAAAGACTAAACGTCGCCCTACCCGAGCAGGATCTTGCCGTAAACCTCACGCTGGGTGCGCGTCTCCCTCTTCCTCTGGATCTCGGCGTCGTACCAGTAGCCGCGCTCCTTGGGCTCGTCGGGGTTGTAGTTCACCATCACGATCATGCCCTGCTCCAGCTGGTGCCACTGGTAGACGGTGCGCGCCCGCGGACGGACGTCTTTCCCGCGCAGCTGCACCATGCCGTTCTCAGGGTAACTGCACAGAGCAAACGCATGTGCGATTAGCATTTACTGGCGTGGGACATTTAAACAGACTGTCTTTGAAGAACGGTTTAAGATGCAGATGAAAGGAAAGACTGAAACTTGGAGACGTTAACAGGTGCATGAAGCGCTCAATGAATCCAGGTGTTCGACATGACCAAATCTGTTCAAATTTGGAGGGAAAAAACCCTATATTTTGTAGATAATTTCAGCGAGTTTGGAAAAGACAAAGTCAAGTATGTTTGTTGTTAGTAACCTTAAAAGCTTTACTCCCAAAGATTCTCCTCTAAGTCAATTCAACCTTACAATTAGGCCATAAAAACATCTGACTGAATATGACTTGAGATTCAGAAAGTGAATCACCTGTTAACTTCGACCGATTCAAAATCGTAATTTTTCATGACTCATTGATTCATTTAAGAATTTTGATTCAGATTCATTTGGGCATAGTTCAGTTATAAAGTCCATTTTGCTTACAGAAAGAGATCTTCTCAATGCTGATGTAAATTACATGGTTTCAAACCAATAACTCATCTTTGAACCATTCTTTAAAGGAATCGGCTCACAGAAGTCATTTGTTCAGTATACTGAATCAGACTACACTGGTCACATTGTATATTAATTTTTGTGTTCAGCTTACAAGGACTCGATATAAAGACGTTTCTTGCCATTATTTTGTAGTAAACAAAATATTTGTCATACAATTTAGACTAGTGCTGGGCGGTATACCGGTTCATACCGAATACCGGTGTTAATTTTTGTTATGATATGAATTTTTAAAATACCGCAATACCGGTGTATGTCGCTTAATTAAACAACGTTCGGAACGCGACACTGTTTGAAAG